GTGGGTTGGTTTTTTTTGTTTGTTTGTTTTTAGTACTTAGGTAAACAAGTACTTACTATTAGTTCTGATTAGTCCTGGGCAACACAACTCATGTAGTCCTAACAACAATCCTTGGGTTAGCTACTTTCCAAGATCACATGGCTAATCAGTTGAACTAGTAAAGGTAGACAACGTAATAGTGACTGGAGATGGTCCTTAACATTATTGAGGGTGATAATTAATGAATGGTCTCTATGAAGAGGTACATTTAAGGTCTGAGAAGAAGAGAAAGCAGTTCTGAGATCTGGAGGAAGAATGTTCCAAGAAGAAGAAAGGACATGTAGAGAAGTGCTTTGTTTAGAAATTTTGTTGTATTCAAGGACAGTGGGGCCATAACAGTAAGCAGATGATATCAAGAGGTAGGTAAGAGCTAATTTGAAAGTGGCCTTGTGGTTTGTATTTTACTTTTATATTGACTCTTGGATTTTACTGGGATTGTAGGGATCTGCACAGGGAAGTGATGTGATCTGAATTAGTGAGTGGTCTGTCAAAATGTCAGCTAGTAGTGATAGTAGCTTGGATTAGAGCTGTAGCAGAGATGGTGATAAATGGTTAGCTAATAAGATCTATTTTGTATATAAAACCTATAAGACTTTTATGGACTGGATGTTGAATGTGAGGAATAGATAATATTCAAGGGATTCCTGGGAATTTAAAGCAGGAGTGGATTGTGTCAAGAAAATCAACAGTTTTAGCCATGTTAACATATTGCGGACGGACAGGTCACGAGAATTTTCGCTTCACATTACACCGTGTTTTACAAGATATCATATTTTTAAAAGATATTAGCTTGTAAGAATGTGTAATAACTTCAAAATGCAATGGGTATTTAATTTTAAAGTGTGCCTATAACATTTATGTAAAACTTTTTTTTTTTTTTTTTTGTAATGGTTCAATAGAAACTTATCTGGCCCCTGGATAAGGCTAGCAATAAAACTACTGGTCCGCAATGTGTTAAGTTTCATATGCCAATTAGATATCCAAGAATGAATGTCACATGGTATGACTGGGGAATTCTGAAGAGAGCTCAGTGCTATGAGTTGTCCACATTCAGGCATCTTCAAACTACGGCCCTCGGGCCACATGCAGCCCGCAGAGGAGTCTGATCCAGCCTGCCAGGTTTTTTGGGCAGTGAGCGCAGCCGAGGTGTTACAGTAGGAATTAGTAGTTCATATAGTCCGGCCCTCCAGCTCTCTGAGGGACCGTGATCTGGCCCCCACTTTAAAAAGTTTGAGGACCCCTGATAGGTCTTTGCTGCAGCTATGGGATTAGATGAGATTTCCAAGGAAGAGAGTGTACGGGATTAGATGAGATTTCTGAGAAGCAGCTCAGGACTGAGCCCCCAGATACTCCCAACATTTAGGGTTCTGGTACAGGGGAAGCAGCAGAGAAAACTGAGGAAGACAAAATAGCACAACACATATCATGGAAAGCTAAGTTTAAAGAGTTTATCTCAAAAGGAAATAAACTGTTGAGTCATGCTGTTGAGAGGTCATATGAGGTAGTGGATTAATTAGGGTGGCTAATTGCTATAATAAATAGACCCCAAGATGTCTAATGGCTCAGACACAATAGTTTTTCCTACCCCAATATAAAAAAGTAGAAAAGTGGTAATGAAGAGGTCAGTGGTCTTGCCCTCCTCCCCGAGTCATCTCCATTGTAGCTCGCTGAAAGGGAAAAGGAACATAGAGACTGTTGAATGGAGATCTTTATGGACCAGGACTGAAAATGGTGCCCATGTGGCTTGAATTCAGTCACATGACCACTTGCAACAGCAATGGAGATTGCACAAAAGAAACAGGCCACACAGGAAAAAAGAACTAGCTTATTGTAACTACCCTGTTTCCTCGAAAATAAGACAGTGTCTTACATTAATTTTTTTCTCCCAAAGTTGCGCTAGGTCTTATTTTCAGGGGATGTCTTATCTTTCCATGCACTAGGTCTTATTTTCGGAGGATGTCTTATTTTCGGGGAAACACGATAGCAATCTCTGCTACAGATGGCTTTGGCAGGATGTAGGTCACAATGACTTGGGAAGAACTATTGTATTTCAGTGAAGTGATAAGGATGAAAGCCCAAGAGAACTGGGGGTAAGAAATGAGCACACCTTTTTTTCCCTGTAGTTTTGCTATGAAGATGAACAGAGGAATCAGAGAGAGGCTAGAAAGAGAAAGAATGTTAAGATTTTTCAAAAGAGGCATGTTACTAGTGCAAACAGAATGTATACTATTGTTAACATTTAAGAAATGAATTCCAAGATTTACACTGTGTCAGCATAGATCAGCAGTCGCCAACTGGTGGTCGATGGACCGCTGGTGGTCCGTGAGGTGTGAAAGGTTGATGACCACTGCTATAGATGTGTTGGTGTATGTTGAATTCGGCAAACTAAATGGTATATTGTGTTTTAGGTTTTCAAATTCCAATTGGCTTAATTACTTTAAAAATATAGTAATGATGTCATTGAATCAACTACTAAGTTGAGAACAGAATTCTATTTTTTAAAAATATATTTTATTGATTTTTTACAGAGAAGAAGAGAGAGGGATAGAGAGTTAGAAACATCGATGAGAAACATCCATCAGCTGCCTCCTGCACACCGCCCACTGGGGATGTGCCCACAACCAAGGTACATATCCTTGACAGGAATTGAACCTGGGACCTTTCAGTCCGCAGGCCAACACTCTATCCACTGAGCTAAACCGGTTTCAGCAGAGAATTCTATTTTCTATGGCAAGTGTCCTTCCATAAAAGAACCAGAACTTTAAAGTGAATCAGTCCATTTTCTTAATAGAATGGTAGAATGTATTCATAGCTGCATGCTTCATATACTCTACTGAAAACAATCTTTTTATGGTCTGAAGATTTTATGCCCTTTCCATTCACTTGGTGACTCAACTGAAGTGATGCCAAAAACCCATGACTAATCAGTTATCTCATAGGACCTGAGAGGTGGTTTTTTCTTTGTTTGTTTTTGCACAAAACACCCAAGCACGTTATTGGGGATGTCAAAATATGTAGAAAATGATTGTTGCCAAAACTCATTGAATGGAGATGATTGTTAATGTAAGAAAATTGGACTAAGCTAAAATACATAAATTTATTTTAAAAGGCAGATTTCTGGGAAGGCTGAAAAATTCTTATCCTCTTGTAGTCTATTTTTTTTTTAATTGAGATATAGTTCACATACATAAAATTCACCTTTTTATAGTGTAAAATTCAGTGACTTTTAGTATATTTACTTTAAAAAGTTGTGTAACATTAATTCTGGAATATTTTCATCACCATACCCATTAGTGGTCACTCCTCATCCCCACCTCCCTCTTAGTTCCTGGTAACCAGTAATCGACTTTCTTTTTCACTGCCTGTCCTGCACACTTTATATAAATGGAATGATATAATATGTGGCTTTCTATGTCTGGCTTCTTCCACTTAGCATAATGTTTAAGATTTATCCATGTAGCATGTATCAGTACTTCATTCCTTTTTATGGCTGAATAGTATTCCATTGTATGGATATAATAATTTATCCATTCATCAGTTGATGGACATTTGAGTTTCACTTTTTTTTTCTATTATGAATATCAATGCTGCTATGAACATTCATGTACAAGTTTTTGTATGAATAAGTTTTCATTTTTCTTCAGTATATATCTAGGAGTGGAATTACTGGGTCATATGATCTTTAGTCTCTTCTGACCTTTAATTCTTTAACATATCTCTCAAGCTCCCCTCATGCACTCCCATACTGTTTTCTCCCTCACACACCTCCAGCTACAACTTTTTCAAGCAAGCACACAAAAACTACAGCAGAGTGGGAGTGGGAGAGAATCATGTTACTTGCTTGTCCGTCCAACACTTTTCTCAGTTTTTCTTTAAACCCTTTTTTTCAAAACCTCTTCAGGCTAAGCCCTTTTCACACTTAATTACTTTCTCTTCACTGCCTGTCCTTAATTGTGTTTTTTAAAAACCAATTATTTGCCGAAACCGGTTTGGCTCAGTGGATAGAGCGTCGGACTGCAGACTGAAAGGTCCCGGGTTCGATTCCGGTCAAGGGCATGTACCTTGGTTGCAGGCACATCCCCAATAGGGGGTGTGCAAGAGGCAGCTGATCGATGATTCTCTCTCATCGATGTTTCTAACTATCCCTCTCTCTTCCTCTCTGTAAAAAATCAATAAAAATATATAAAAAAATAAAAATAAAAATAAACAATTATTCATTTTCTTCACTCTTTAAAGCCTCTCTCTTTATTGGTCTTCACTACAAAGATTTCCCTGTGATTTTTAAATTAAACTTGAACCTTATAATGCTACCTCCTCTTCCATAAACATGTAAATGACTTTACCTAGGATGTGTAATTCCTAAATGCCCTGTCTCCTTTGCAGTTGGCTTTAAACTCAATTCTTGTTTAAATTTTGTTTTCTCAAGTGTTACCTATTCACCAAATCCAGTATTTTTTTAGTTATATTTTTTATTGCCTGTGGGGTTAAAGCTTCAGGGTCTCTTGCTTTAAAGGAGCCCATAAAATGTTTGTTGTTGAATATTTTTGTAAAGTTGCAAAAGCAAAAATATTTTTGCATTCTTTTCAAGTTTCAGGCCCTCCAAACCTGGATTTGCCATTTTATAAAAGGTGATCCGCCCCTCATATAAAAGAAGTTCACAGATTCTGTTATAGCCTGAGGTATCAACATTGGGCATGGCTCCCTTCAACTTGGTCACAGCAAAGGAAGGAGCTAATTGCTATATTAAGACTTATATCCTGCTGAAACCGGTTTGGCTCAGTGGATAGAGCATCGGCTTGCGGACTGAAAGGTCGCAGGTTCGATTCCAGTCAAGGGTATGTACCTTGGTTGCGGACACATTGAGGGATGTGCAGGAAGCAGCTGATTGATGTTTCTAACTATCCCTCTCCCTCTCTGTAAAATAATCAATAAAATATATATTTTAAAAGACATATCCTGGATTGACCAAATACTTACATTATTTTCATACCTAGGCCCCAGGTCTTGTCCTTAATATTACAGATTCAGGAACTAGTTTTTAAGCCTTTTGACCAAAGTGGTCAAGCACTGAAACATTAATTCATGCTATCCAAACTCTCAAAGGATTATTTATAAACCAGAATGTTTATTTGTTAGCATACAAAAGGAATTAATTACTGTAATATTGACTGAGTATAAATATCTATTAACCAGAACACATTTAACTGAATAAAGATAGAGATCAAATATGATTATAAAATGTTTAGTTTTCAAGATTTAACGTGAAAATAACTGGGTGCTGAAAGCGTCCTTACTGCAGAGGGATGGCCTAAATCCCTAAACCCTGTTTCTTGCGTGTCTTAAGCATGTGCCAGATTCGGATCTACCAGTCTTGCCTGGTTATGTATGAATTGAGTTGGTCTGTGCCTTAAAGACTCCTCCCCCGCAACTGCACCCACTTTGGCTGCCACACACCAATAGTGTTCTCCCACCTTCCCACCCTTTGTCCTTCTATTTCATTCCTGTCATATGTCCATTCCCCTCACTTTCAGTGCCCAGGCTACCCCATCAAAGGTCCCTCCTAACCTAAGTTCTGTCGTCACCTCCCTACTTTTCCCTTGCCTCCCCTATTAATCATCACCTCCCAGGCTGGCACCCTCATCTCCCATTGGGCCCAGCCTGGCCCCACCTCTCACCCCGAATCTTCCCGGGAGTGGGCGCCGTGGGCCCGCTCCCGGACCCAGCTGGGAAGCTGCGGGCGGGGGAGACACTTTATCCAGCTCTTTGCATGATCTCCCTCTTCCATGTTCTCCCAGTCCTACACACCGCCGCCCCATCTACCCTCCCCACGAACACCAGAGTCGCCTCTTGCCCGTATCTGTGCGGGGGGAGGTCCCCCGCGAAGGCAGCAAGGTGTCTCCATCCTTAATGGCAGGTGCGTCCAGATGCCGGCACCCACGCCCGCCCGGGCGGAGCCCCAGGTGAAGGGGAAGGGTGGTTGGCGCTGAGCCAATCAGAGCTCATGACAACAGGGACCAGCCAATCCGGACCCGGGGTGGTGAGGGCCCGCCCCCTTGCAGCTGGGTGGCCAACGCCTTCGCCCAGGGCTGCCTAGCGCCGCGCTGGTTCCCGAGCCCGGAGCCCGGGCGCCTTCCGAGCGGGGAGACCGCGCCCTCCCGCCCGCCCGGCCCGTCCCCCGCCGCCAGCCACGGCCCCGGCCTCCTCAGCAGGTGTCGGCGGTGCCGCGGACGCAGTCTGACCTGAGCCGTGCCGCTCCCGGAAGACTTTGTGCCTATGGTGGGGGCCAGAGTGAGGTCGTTGCCTTGACGACGACGACAGCATGCGGGCAGCGGTCCTCCTGCGCCGGAGCTTGGGGCCGGCCGCGGCCGCTCGGCCGGTCTCCGCTGCCCCCGGGCCCTGACTGTGTCCTCACAAGGAATCGTAACAGCCCTGAGGCTGCTAGTTTGCTAGTCAGCGTTTTTTTAGACCCGCGGGAAAAAGAGAGAGAGGGAGAGAGAGAGAGATGAATTTCACCTCAAATTGGTTTCCAAGTTGAAAACCTTTGGGTCTTTTTCCACGTGAAAAGGATATTAAAGAAGCAGTAAGTATAAGACTTTTCAAGGCTTCTGTTAATCTCACTCTGGATGTACAATAGATTTCAATCTCTTAAACAAGATAAATTAGCATTATTTTGTATCTAACTTGTTGGGTGTTAGAACTATAGACTCGTACATGGCACATGTCCAGAAATACCACATGGCCAGTCGGGCAGGCTTCGTTTTTATGACCCTTCCCTGCGGGGGTAGACGGCATGGAAAGTTATATTGATAGTTTATGGGTAACTGTTTCAGGAAACAAGAGGCTTTAGAAGCTGTGATACCTTGGAGGTATGTGCAGGCAGTGCCACTTGAAAAAAAAAAATATGGGTGTGTTCAATGTGCTGTGACCAAATGTGCAATTGGCTGCAAGAATATATTTGGAGTAGTCAACTTGCACAGTGTGAGCTTATTATGTGCGTCCCAACATCTTAGGTCTGCTGAAGGTTATTTTAATTTGGTTTTTCAAATATTGGGAGGACCATCTGCAAAATATTTTTAAGTGATGCAAGTTATAGATTCCATCTGTTTTTTTGTCCTTGACATGATCAAACCTATAGTCTAGTGCTTGGTAAAAGCATGCTGTCTTAGTGGAAGGAAAAATTATTTAAAAAGGAGAGAGAAAATAACGTTGAGATATTTTTTTTTCTTCAAACACAGGCTTTTTTATTTGAAAATAATGGATAGACATTAAATGGAAGTTAAAATGGCAAATGTATGGGAGGTTCGTGTTGGGACACTGCTGTGTAAACAGTTTATAATATTATCAAAGCTGGTAGTAAAATAATGAAATAATGTGAGTTGCAGTTGATGTGAATTTATTTTCATTCACCCTTCACCCCCAGGCCAATCTTCTGGTTTTCCATGTATATATAATAGAACCTATATAAATTATCATATGTAAAATGCTAAAAATATATTCATTGAATTATCATAGTTTGTTAAGGAGAGGGTATTTGTATTGTCTTTATCATCAGCGTACCAATAAGGAAGCGAGGAAAAGCATCACACCTCACAATCGGGTAAATTAGTTTCAGATTGCCATAATGTAATGGGTGGTAATATTTCCCCCCTTCTTTTATGAATGAGTATTTTTATATTGTCAGGTTAAAAAATTTAACCATGAATCATCATTTGAATATAAGCTTACTTAAAGGTATTTTTTCCTCCTTAAACTTTTAAAAATGTAATGGGATTAAGATGATTTTTTTTTTGGTTCTAGAATTTAATTTCAACACCAGATTTAAAAATAAAGTTTGAGATTTGCAATAAAATGTATGAATTAAAATCTACCTGTATTTGGACTGAAAGGTTTTTTTCTGTACCACACTATGTAGTGGACTGATTGCTGGACCTTCATCAATCATTTAGTAAAGTAAGGAAGGTTTTATTAGGGTTGCCTTTATCCAGAAAATGACATGTAATTGGGAGTAGAAAAGAATTATAAACATAGCCTGGCTGGTGTGGCTCAGTGATTGAGCATGGACCAATGAACTAGGAGGTCACAGTTTGATTCCTGGTTAGGGCAAATGCCTGGGTTGCAGGCTCCATCCCCAATGTGGGGGTGTGCAGGAGGCAGCCAATCAATGATTCTCTCTCATCATTGATGTTTCTATCTCTCCCTCTTCCTTTCTGAAATCAATAAAAAATGTATTTAAAAAGAAAAGAATTATAAACACAAAACTGAAATGATTATTCTCATAGTGAGTAATCATTAAAAGGATTTTTGAAATACTGTATTTGGTACTACTAATATTTAATTTCTAAAATCTGTCTACATACTGTGATGTCATTGCTGTTATTTTGTAAGTTAAATATAGGAACTTAATTACTATAGTAAGATAAATAAAGAAAAATAGCTTATCAAAGGTTCTTAGTACTCATTTGGTAAATGACCATTTTGTGAACAAATATTCTTCCTCATTGAGTAGAGAATATAAAAATTTTCATCTTTGATCTTTTAATCCTGATACAAAAAAATAAACATGATCTTCACTAAAACCAAATTTAGTTGCAACTTTTTCATCTTTGTGTGAAAAGGAATCATATTTTTCTTAAGTGAGCTATAGCCTTAACTGGAAGGGTCCCAGGTTCAATTCCAGTCAAGGGCATGTACCTTGGTTGGGGCACATCCCCAGTAGGGGGTGTGCAGGAAGCAACTGATCAATATTTCTCTCTTATCAGTGTTTCTAACTCTCTATCCATCTCCTTTTCTCTATGTAAAATAATAAATAAAATATATTTAAAAAATAAAGTGAGCTGTAATTGTTTTGTTTGTAGTTCTAGTTGTTTATCCAAATTAAAAATATGTTGAATTTTATCAACATGACATCTAGTAATTTAAATTTAAAGTTAATGGCTTCAGTTATATTTGTGTTGTCTATTATGAAATGTATATAAATATTTTGAAAACAACAAAATTGGAAACAATAAGAAATTGTGAGTCAGCAAGGAGAACCAACAACACAATGACTGCTCTAATATGGAAAACAAGTTGGGAAGAATTACTTTGCTGCAAGTGTGGAGAAAATTAATACATTCAACATTATTAACTATATTTTGTTTTTTACAGCAAGAAAAATTCTTCTGGTTTTGAATTAAAATGGATAAATATGAGAACCTAGGATTGGTTGGAGAAGGGAGCTATGGAATGGTGATGAAGTGTAGGAATAAAGATACCGGAAGAATTGTAGCCATTAAAAAGTTCTTAGAAAGTGATGATGACAAAATGGTTAAAAAAATTGCTATGCGAGAAATCAAGTTACTAAAGGTGAGTAAACACATTTTGGGGAAAATTACTGTTATTATATTTGTTTCATATATTACAAGGTTTAAAGTATATGTTTTTGGCAATAAACAAATAAAATGATTACATATGTACATTCATTTATATTAGGGGTGTCGAACTCAATCAGAGAAGGGGCCAAAATCTAAAATCCAGCCTAAATCGCGGGCCGAATGGTTTACTGAACAGTCATAAACTGTCATTGTGATGGAAACGCAGCGGAGTGCAGTGATGACAGCGCGGTGCGGGCCACATTGCAAGGCCTGGCGGGATGGATTTGGCCCGCGGGCCTTGTGTTTGACACATGTGATTTATATCATGAACATAAACATGATTTAAAAAGTGCTTGTTGCTTCTTCCCCCCACCTCTCTCTCTCTAAAAACAAGATCCAGACATAAAAGAACAAACTTAAAAAAGTTTTTTTTCTTTCAACTTTTTATCGACATATAGAAAAGTACACATATCATAAAAATATGTCTCTATGGATTTAAATAACTGAACAAAACCATGTAACCACCATCTAAATCAAGTAAGAGAACATGAAAATAACCCCAGAAGGCCGAAACCGGTTTGGCTCAGTGGATAGAGCATAGGCCTGCGGACTCAAGGGTCCCGGGTTCAATTCCGGTCAAGGGCATGTACCTTGGTTGCGGGCACATCCCCAGTAGGGGGTGTGCAAGAGGCAGCTGATCGATGATTCTCTCTCATCGATGTTTCTAACTCTCTATCCCTCTCTCTTCCTCTCTGTAAAAAATCAATAAAAAATATTAAAAAAAAAAAAAAACCAGAAGGCCCTCTCTCATCCCCCCCACGCACCCCCCCACACACCCTTCTACTCCCACCCTTATACCTTCTCTAGTCACTACTGTCTTCCTTTTCTACTCAGGTCACAATTGTCTTGATTACAATCAGCATAATTTAGTTTTATTTTCTGCAACCTTGTTCCCGTTATATCTAAGAAGGTTTGGGGTTGTTTTTTGTTGTTGTTTTTCCTTTTCAGGGTGTGTCACCTACTTTGGAAAACTCTGCCCTGCCAGCTTTGTGGCCAGAGATGATCTCTTGTATCTTCCTACACTCCTGTTTGACCTTGATTGCATTTGGCAGTTTCACCTCATTTGTTGTGGGTAGGGGTCATAGATCCTATTACCCTGTTTCCCCGAAAATAAGAGTGTCTTATATTAATTTTTGCTCCCAAAGATGCGCTAGGTCTTATTTTCAGGGGATGTCTTATTTTTCCATGAAGAAGAATACAGTACACATTTATTGTTAAATGAAAATAAAGGAAATTTATTACCTGTATATGGTACGGTAGTACGGTAGTTGTCAACACAAACCAGACAAACTGTGAATCCTACAGTATCAAGAATTTTCTCATTTATTCAATGACAATCATGTCATTATCTTCTGGAACATCATCATAACAATCCAGTTCCTGAATTTCCTGGTGAATTTCTTGTGACTCCATTTCTTTCAGAATCAGTGGACCAAATCTCTCATGTTTAGCAATAGCACTGTCTTTAAATGAGTACTTCTTGTCAAGGTAGTCTGCTCGCAGTGCATTTGCAATGCAACTGTCTGTGATTTTCTTCCATGAATTCTTCACCCAAGTCACAACTTCTTGCAGTTTAGGTTTCACAAAGTTTCCACACTGATTTCTCTCCATTCTATTTTCAATGTAATCTTTAATTTCCATATGCAAATTGTCTTTGAATGGCTTGTTTATTGCAATATCAAGAGTCTGGAGATAGGCCGTCATTCCTGCGGGAATCGTTATCTGATCTATTTTTCTTTCGTGAAGAAATGTCTTCATGTCTTTAGCGTGATGAGTGCTGGCTGCATCCCAGACTAGCAGACTAGCAGACCTCTTTGGCTCCCTCACATAACAAGCGGCAGCATTAAATTGACCCACTTCCTTATAACTGCTTGTGTGGCCCAGGCTTTTTCAGTTTCAAGAATAAAAATACTCCAAACACATTCAATCTTTTCCTTCTTGCCCTTACAAATGATTAAAGGTGGGATTTTACTGCCATACAGATGAATTGCCAAAATACAGGAATCACGTGCACTTTCGTAAGCAGTGGAGGGAATGGAGCCTAGGGGGGACCTTATTTTCAGCAGGATGCCTTATATTTCACTCAGAAGGAAACTTGTAAGTAGGTCTTATTTTCGGAGGATGTTTTATTTTCGGGGAAACATGGTAGTTCCATCAGAAATAAAGCTACATTTCTTTTTCTTATTGGTTTTATTGTGTTCTCTGAGAGGACAACAGAGTAATGTGGTCTTTTAACTAGAATTTAAAAACCAGAATATACATTTACAATTTATACTGTTCATGCATTTTATTTATGTCTTTCTTATGGTAAGACCTATTTTGGATTGTCACTAATTGCTAATCATTTGATGCTGTAAAAACTATTTTGCATTTTTTTATAACAGCAACTGAGGCATGAAAATCTGGTGAATCTGTTGGAGGTGTGTAAGAAAAAAAAACGATGGTACCTAGTCTTTGAGTTTGTTGACCATACCATTCTTGATGACTTGGAACTCTTTCCAAATGGACTAGACTACCAGGTGGTTCAAAAGTATTTGTTTCAGATTATTAATGGAATTGGATTTTGTCATAGTCACAATGTAAGTATTTAGTTTAAATAATTATTTTGCCAATTATTGACTCTCCAGCAGCAATCATTTCATTTAATGAGATACTTGTTTAAAGTTTGGACCAATAAAGTCAGAGAAATGAACTGTTACTTTGATATTGCCAATTTTCATGTGCCACAATACATGTATTCTTTTCCCCACCATCTTATTATGAAAAGTTGGGGCCATGCCATACTGAAAAATAAAAAGAGTGTGCCATGAATACTCATATAATCTACCACCTAGATTCTAAACTTGTTAATGTTTTTATATATTTTCTTTATGGTGTATTTATCTTTTTATTAATGCTTTATTTATGTATTTGTAAGTAAGTTACAGATATCAGTACACTTCAACTCTAAATACTTAGGCTATGTATATTAACTAGAGTTTAATATTTTTTTGCTTTTGTTTGAGGTGACATTTACTGAGTGAAATGCACAAATTCTAACCTGAGTTTTGACAAATGCACTCACCAAGGATCCATGTATATGTTAGTTCAGATTCTTTGCCGAGTTGTGAAGTATAAAAATCCTTGCTCTTCATGGAACAAATTGTCAAACCTCAGAGAGAAGGCAGGGGTGGATGGGTGGGTGGGAAGAGACCAACCAAAGAACTTGTATGCATAACCCATGGACACAGACAGTGTGGTAAAGGCCTGGGGTGAGGGCTGAGGGCGGGCTAGAAGATGTCAATAGGGAAAAAGGGGGACATATGTAACATTTTCAACAATAAACATATGTTTTTAAATCCCTGCTCTTAGCCTGTAGTCTATCACAATAATTTTATATCCTTTGAGCATCAATAAGAGTACCGCCAAGTAAAATGGCACAAAGTACAAAATGAATAATTCAACACATTATTCTTTCAGTTTTACAAAATATTTTTAATGACATTTTTTTTGTGTGTGATTATAAAAATAATAGATGCTAATGGTAGATGTGGCCCTGTGAGCTTGCATGGATGTAATAGCAGTTGGTAGCCTCTGCAAACTTCTCAGTAATGGCATATTGCCATTTAAGATGCTGGTCCCCTGAAAGAGTTTAATATATATATTAAATATAATATATATTAAATATATTATATATTAAATATATAATATTTAATATATAATATTTTTTCAAAATACAGTTTACTTGTATTAGAGAATTAGGTCTAATATTTTGTTTTGCCTAGTTATAGAATTTTTAGTATTGTCTCCCAGTATTGATATTTTCTCCTTTACAAATCTTAACCACTGATCTTGTTGACCCTCTTTATATTTGTTTTTTTAAAACATATTTTTAGCCGAGATCGGTTTGGCTCAGTGAATAGAGCATCGGCCTGCGGACTGAAAGGTCCCGTGTTCGATTTCTGTCAAGGGCATGTACCTTGGTTGCGGGCACATCCCCAGTGGGGGGTGTGCAAGAGGCAGCTGATCGATGATTCTCTCTCATCGATGTTTCTAACTCTCTATCCCTCTCTCTTCCTCTCTCTGAAAAATCAGTAAAAAATATATTAAAAAAGAAAAAGAATCCTTTCTAAAAACAAACAAACAAACAAACAAACAAAAACATATTTTTTTGATTTCAGAGAAAGGAAGGGAGAGGGGAGAGAGAGAAACATCAATGATGAGAGAGAATCACTGATCAGCTGCCTTCTGCATGCTCCCTATGGGGGATCAAGCCCACAACCTGGGCATGTGCCCTGACTAGGAATCGAACCCTGACCTCCTGGTTCATGAGTTGATGCTCAGCTACTGAACCTCACTAGCCTGGCAACCTTCTTTACATTTCTAATTGTCTGAATAATGCCTCCATTTGGGTGCTCAGCAATCCTCATAAAGGTCCCTATAGCTAAAAGTAAACTACTAATTATTCCATCAAAATTAACTTTTTCCAAGCTTTTTAATTTTTGGCAATAAAACCACCATTCTTTTAGATTCCTGGGTTTAAATAAAATATCTGAGACTACTTCCTAAGCTCTATTGGTGCTTGATTCAAAATATTTATAAACTATTATGTCTCCTCCTTTCCATTCCTCCAAGCACCTATCTAGTTTAGGCCCTTATTGCCTTGTAGTTGTCCCACTGCTCTTTTCCCTGCCTCTAGTCCCTCTCTCTGACAGCTTGTTTATGGCCAAAATCTTTAAACATCGTAATGGTCATACCACTTCCATGGGTTCCCATGGCCTTGACAGGAGCTCAGACCCTCAGGCTGGCAGTTGAGACATCCTTTCTCTCTAGTATATAACCTGTCCTGTAGAAGCAACATGTCTCTAGTCTACTGATCTTTTTCTCTTCATTTTTTTGTTCTCTTTGTTACCTTCACTTGGAGTGCCCTTTCATTTCCACATTTATTCAGGTCATTCTTAGATTAAAGACCTACCTTAGAGCCCATCCCTTTCATAACATTTTTCCTTTATTGCCCAGTCTTCAATTACAGCTTTACTCTCTTAGTCTTGAGAGCAATGAGTAACAGAACAATTGATTGGGAATATGTAATATCTTTGATTATTTACATAAAATGTTAATGTATTTATTTTTATTTCTTTCCCAACTAGATTTCAGGTTCTTTAAAGCCAAGAAGAATTTCATATGCTTTTATTTCTATTCATTATAGGGACAAAAACAGTGCCCTACACATGGCAGGCACTAAAAACATAATTAACTTATTTACCTTGATGTGCCAATATATGTCATTCTCTGTGTTTTTTGTTTTGTTTGTTTGTTTGTTTTTGTTTTTTTGTTTTGTTTTGTTTTAGATCATACACAGAGATATCAAGCCAGAGAATATATTAGTCTCCCAGTCTGGTGTTGTCAAGTTATGTGATTTTGGATTTGCACGGACATTGGCAGCTCCTGGGGAGGTTTATACTGATTATGTGGCCACCCGATGGTACAGAGCTCCAGAGCTATTGGTTGGTGATGTGAAGTATGGCAAGTAAGACATCGTGGTGGTGGGGAGGGGGTGCTACTATCTTTCTAATATAAAAAAGATTCCTCTAACACTGGAGGGAAGTTTTGAATTTAGAGAACTTTACAAAGTGATTTGTAATTTTTGGTGCTTCCCCTTTAAGCATTCTTGTGAAACAATTTGGGTGTGTATACTAATATTTTAAAGGTAGGGAAATCAAGGTGAGCAAGTAGTCTGTTTTCTTATAGTGGTTCAGAAATAGGTATACTATATTTCACTTATAAAGAGAGGTAACATGGATTGGATAAGTCTGAAACTATTGGAATAAGATGAATGGACAAGGCTCAGGGTAAAAACAATTTGATGAAATGTTTTTAAAATATAATTGTTTCCAGAAATGAATTTTTCAAAGAAGATGGGATTGTAAATTTTACTGCTTTTATAGAAATCGTTAAAAAATATTTTCTACAATTTCCGTTTTCAGAGTATACACCATTTAATGTTTTCTTGATTACTTTAAGTTCTTCTTTTACTGTCATACTGTAACCTTTATATCATTTTATAATATAGCTATGACCTTAAGAAATTTCAAGGTAGTTGTCCTTATGCTAATAATGCCAGAATATTCTTTAAGTTCTTATAACTGATTTTAAAGACAGTTTTTCTTGTTTTTCTCTATTAGCTTTCAGTTCTCCTTCTTGTTACTGTATGTGTCCTTAACGACCACCTCCTTCTGGTAGTTTTCAGTGTATGGTGGGATAGACTGATTAACTTGTTAGAATTATGTGTAAACAAAGAGTGAACAGCTTCTAAGTGAAAACCCAAAAGACTTATCTTCATAATAAAGGACACATAACTATTACGACTTTTTAGAAGCCTTTTCCCTCTATGTCACATGATCAAACTTTCTGGAAATCTGACTTACATAAAATTAGGAATTAGTACTTTAAGTTTATAGGTGATTTAAAGCTTGCTACTACTTTTCTCAATACCTAGAATATGTAGTAGTAATATGCAGAGCAGATTCAAGTCACAGTAAACATATAAGGTGGCCAAATTTTACACCACACTGCTTTTCTTTCAGAGCTGTTGATATATGGGCCATTGGTTGTCTGGTAACTGAAATGCTCATGGGGGAACCTCTCTTTCCTGGAGATTCTGATATTGATCAGCTATATCATATTATGACGTGTTTAGGTAAGATTATACATCTACATTTTCAATTCTAGAGGCTTTCTCCTATGCTTGTTTGTTTGTTTGTATTAATTTTACAAGGTAGGAAGCAAATAGGAAATTTTCATATATGTATGTATATATTCATTCATTGTCAGCCTGGCCCTGGTCTGTGTGACCTATGGTCTTAATCATGCTTTCACTCCACCTACTGCCCCACTTCCCCCTAAAGAGCAAAGGTTATATATATATATATATTTGCACTTTCGAATTCAGTCAGTCACACACACACAGAAAGGATGCAAATGATTGCTTATTACCTATGGATCAATAAGCATTTGATGTAATATGACTATACCCTCATCCCCACCTTCAAATTGAGAGACACAGAGACTTCCAAGGTAGCTTGATCTTGTTGCAGATGTGACTTTTGTTGTTAGTGCTTTAGATGGAGTGTCAAAGCTAGATTATCACATTATTCTCACATTTGTTGAAATATCAGCTTCATTGTTGGGAGATAGAGCTTGGAAAATAAAAAAAATGGTAAAATACTTGGGTTCTATTTAACTATTGAGTTTTAAGTTTCCAGGTTAGAAATTCAACAAACAGTATAATGGTTTCATATATAATATTTTATGCTCAGATGGACTGAAGTTGATAAAAAAGATAAAAGTGTTAAAATCAGACCTGAACATAATTATAAAATCAATTGACCAAATATTAAATTCTTAAATGATAAGATTGATTTATCTAGATTAGATTCTGACCACATTTTCATTGTTTTAGTCAGAACTTTAATGCTTTTTGGTGTTACAAATGAAGTGCTGGCGATTATTTAAAAAAAAATTATAGCCCAGCCAGAGTGGTTCAGTGATTGAGATCAACCTATGAACCTGGAGGTCATGTTTCGATTCCTGGTCAGGGCACATGGCCGGGTTATGGGCTCCATCCCCAGTGTGGAGCATGCAGGAGGCAGCAGATCAATGATTCTCAACATTGATGTTTCAATTTTTCTCTCCCTCTCCCTTTCTCTCTGAAATAAATAACAATGTATTTTTTAAAATTATAAAAATGCTTTGCCTCTCCTTTTCCTATGCTCCTTCGTGTCTTCATTGTATGTTTCCTGGCATATGAACTTTCATTAAGAGCACTTGTCTTCAGTTGGTTTTGCAGAGAGAGAGCCCCAACTCCATAAGCATGTCCCTCTCTTTTGTCTACTCCACATCACCTGTCTCTGCCATTACTCTCATGATGTATAATGACAGAGATGTGTGCTATCCCCACCGCCAGGTAATCTCATTCCAAGGCACCAGGAGCTGTTTTATAAAAACCCTGCCTTTGCTGGAGTAAGGTTGCCTGAAATCAAGGAAATGGAACCTCTTGAAAGACGCTATCCCAAGCTCCCTGAAGTTGTGATAGATTTAGCAAAGGTAACCATACTTTTTCATTCACGTTCTGACAGGGAATTTATATTTCAGAAAGTTGTCTTTCTCTCTTTTTTTTTCTTTCTTTCTTGTTTAGTTGATCATTTAGGTAAACAATTTCATGTGTATGTGTGTGTTGGGATTTTGGGGGGGATGACTACAGAGATAAAAACCTGAAAATTTCACCTAAGAAATCATTTAGTTTATCTAGTATGTTTCAAGTGTGAAAACATCCTCATAGAGATGTCTTTAATGTTTAACATTTTAAAGTGTAAGCTTTGTTTAAATGGGAAAGGAAAATAGGGTAAGAAAGTAAAAAGAATGGCAGAGTCGTAGGAAAATTAATTAAATTAAATGGCATAGATTTATGACATGCGGTGTATTTTTAAACCAATAAGCATGGATTCTACCCTTGATGTGAGCCAAAAGGTCGAGAGGTGATCTGTTGTGTATCCCACTGAGCCACTGGATTTGCTGAAGCTAATTTGCAAGTCATCATCACCTTTGCCTTGTGTTTGATTGAGGTAGATATTAGGGAGAGTCTCAATGGATCAAATTGTCTTTAAAAGTAGACATTTTGGAATTATTAGCTCAAAAACATTCTTGTTAGGATTGTCCTAAAGTGTTGATTAAATAAATATCTCTAAAACACCAGAATCACATAACATTTATCTACAATAAGTTATTTTATTTTTATTATTTTTCATTTTCTGGTCAGGGCACATTATATAATTCATTAAAAAAGGTTAGTGAGCCCGGGCTGGTTTGGCTCAGTGGATAGAGCGTCAGCCTGCGGACTGAAGGGTCCCAGGTTTGATTCTGGTCAAGGGCACATGCCCAGGTTGTGGGCTCCATCCCTAGTGGGGAGCGTGCAGGAGGCAGCTGATCAATGATTCTCTCTCATCATTGATGTTTCTATCTCTCGCCCTCTCCCTTCCTCTCTGAAATAAAAAAATAATATATTTTAAAAGAAAGTTTAGTGAGCTTATAACTAATTATAATAAATTCTTAAAATAACACGTCTAATTTTCTCTATAATCTAACACATGCAAATATTTTTAATTGAAACCTGCTTTATGATCAATCTTAAATAAAGAGACTTAAAGGGAATAAAAAGAAAATTATTGTCTAACTTATGACCCTTATAGTAGAATCATATAACTTTTAAAACATTTTATTACAGAAATTTTCGACAGAAAAGAAAGAATAGCAATAGAATGTAGCCTCGTATACTTGTCATCTAGCTTCAACAATTAACAATCTCTAGACCAGTGGTTCTCAGCCTTTCTAAAGCGACCCTTTCATATAGTTCCTCATGTTGTGGTGTCGCCCAAGCGTAAAATTATTTTTGTTGATACTTCATATAACTGTAATTTTGCTACTGTTGATGAATGGTAATGTAAATATCTGTGTTTTCCGATGGTCTTAGGCTCTACAGCAGTGCTTCTCAACCTGTGGGCGACCCGCTAGCAGGGTCGCCTAAGACCATCAGAAAACACAGATATTTACATTACCATTCATTAACAGTAGCAAAATTATAGTTATGAATAGCAACGAAAGTAATTTTACAGTTGGGGGTCATGACAACATGAGGACCTGTATTAAAGAGTCGCGGCATTAGAAAGGTTGAGAACCACTGCTCTAGACAAACTTTATCATCTATCTAGAGCCACATGTGTCAAACACAAGGCCTGCGGGCCAAATCCGTCCCGCCAGGCCTTGCAATGTGGCCCGCACCGCGCTGTCATCACTGCACTCCGCTGCGTTTCCATCACAATGACAGTTTATGACTGTTCAGTAAACCATTCGGCCCGCGATTTAGGCTGGATTTTAGATTTTGGCCCCTTCTCTGATTGAGTTCGACACCCCTAATAGACCCTCTGCACCTTTTTTTGAGCATTTTGAAACAAATTGCAGATACTATATTTTTTTACTTATAAATACTTTAGTTATATATAGAACTTTTCTTGTTCATTTAAAGCTACTTATTGAGTCCCTTTTATTTTTACTAACATTGAATGGTTTCAATTAATCAGAACAAAAATCCATGTAAAGTATCTAGCACAATAATAAGCACAGACCAGGTCCTTTCCTTCCCATTCTGCAAGGGCTTTAACATTTCACCATAATTCCTTAATATCATAAAACAGCTAATCAATGTTTCATTGATTTTTCTCATAATTTCTTTTTATAGTTTAAATTAGGATTCACAGAGTCTACATTTCAATCAGTTAACTTCTTTTTTTTAAAGGAGGTTAACATCTTTTAAAAAAAATGTTTTATCAATTTCAGAGAGGAAGGGAGATGGAGAGAGGGATAGAAACCTCAGTAATGAGAGAGAATCATCAATTAGTTAATGCATGCCCTCTACTGGGGATCGAGCTCCCAATGGGGGCATGTGCTGTGACCAGGAACAGAACCATGACCTCCTGGTTCAACGCTCAACCACTGAGCCACACTAACTGAGATAATTATATATTTCTTAAAGATTCTTAATTTACAAACTTATCTTCATCTCTTTTTGTTTTGTCTGCTTTAACCTTGCTAATTATTTATTGAAGAAACTAGGTTGTTTGTCCCTTAGAGTTTCCCATATAGTATAGTTTAATATGTTTCTCTATGTCCTGTATTTCTTATAAATTCATAGAGCTAGAGCTTGATCAGAATGTCTGGTGGTCTTTCTTTTTGTGATATTAGCAACCTTTGGTCATTGTCTAGATTTGTGATTTATTCTTTATAATTTATCATAGATGTTTAAATTCATAACTATAAGGAAGTATTTTCTATATTTAGGCATTTAAATGTGGTTAGATTTTTTTTTTTTTAAATGAGCTACATGTTTTTCTTTTGGTTTTACAGAAATGCTTACATATTGATCCAGACAAAAGACCCTTCTGTGCTGAGCTCCTGCACCATGATTTCTTTTGTATGGATGGATTTGTTGAACGGTATAGTACTGGCTCATGTTTTCCAGGTCTCCCTGGTCTAGAGTTGAAATAAGTTCTCCAACAGACAGTATTTCTCTACCCAGCTACTTTTATAGGGTCTCATATATTTACCACCCTACCTCCATTCATCCTTAGCAGCGACGGGATTTGTAGGAGTAGTTCCCTGTATTCACTTACTTAGGGCTCTTGGTTTTCATGAAGCAGTCACTTCTGGCTTTTATTCCTGTCTTCCTGTGGTAACATGCATCCATCACTCAGGTCACTGATATCTATGTTGCTACCAGTTGTATGATGCCATAATCTTGGGTGCTGATGCATTTGCAAAGGTACCATCTCCTGTTGTTGCCACACTCAAACCATACCCAGTCCTGTGACAGCTGACCCTGCTGATGTGCTAGAGACCTTGGTGTGCCAAACCTGTGGGTGCCAGAGCTGTTGGCATGTTCTCTTGTGCTGCTTGAGCTAGTGGCATCAGTATAGCTGAGAAAGCAAAAATATAGTGCGATGAGTAGTAATGACATTGCATTATATTTTTACAAGTCTAGTTAATATCTAGCTTAGTAAAAGATACATGGGTTCTCATGTTTTCTTCTAATTTCAGTAGTTGTGATATGTTGTGTTGTTTGAAATATATATGAAGAAACCCTGGCCTCATACAAATATGTTGTTGGAAAATGGAAGAATATTTTACTAGCTTTTTTAGATGATTGTGTGCCTTCTTTGATCCCATACCAAAAATTTCGATGCTACATTAAAACTTACAGTGGTGGTTCTTAAATGTTGGTTGTGGAATCTGAAACCACATTAATTAGCTTTTTTTTTTACCCAGTTACATTAAAATCTCACATTTTGAATATAGGTCTTTTACACATGTATACTTTTGTAATAACATACATTAGTCATTTGGGAAATATTGTTTTGCTATTATGCAGATCTTTAAAGTGTTAACCTATTTCATTATGCCACATTAAAAAAAAACACATTCAGAAAAGTCTCACCAGAAAAGTCTTTAAATATTGGGAATTTGCTCAGCTCAAAGGAGTAGATACAAACTTAACAGAATTCCAATTTTGCATAAAATTTTGAATTTTTTAACACCAATATTACCAGTTGTTTTCCTTGAAGTGACAGGCTCCTTCGTTCACTTTTTAAAAGAGAATATATGCTAAGTACTCTCTCTGAATAACAATAGCCAGTCTTTCAAGTAAAAATGTTTCAATAAATAGGTGGCTAGTTTAGTTTGTATCGAAAACAATCACACAGTGCTTTTCTTAAGTTAACCATTGTGCTTCAGTTTGCAGCAGTTCTTTTTGAATATTCCCATATTGTCACACAGAATATGAAAAAGGCATATGTTCAAGGATTTAGATTTAATAAAATTAATACTTTTTTACTGTTTTATCAAGGACATCCTTAAATACAACTCTCTCTCTCTCTCTCTCTCTCTCTCTCTCTCTCTCTCTCTCTCTCTCTCTCTCTCTCTTTCTCTCTCTCTAACTGAGAATGTGTGGCTATGAAGAATATAGCGACTGCTAGTGCAAATGTTATCAAGATGAACAGGAAGTCATCTTCCTTTTAAGAATAGCTTTGCCTTTTGAACCTCCTAAAAGGTTCTTAGTGATTCCCAGGAATATACAAACTGCCTTTTGAGAACTGCTAATGTAGGTCATAATTTTTTTCATTTTAAATAACATGATATTGTTTAATAGTCAATTTAAAAAAATATATTGAAAACCATTTTCCCCCTTTGATTTCTCTGTCTCACACAATTTTATTTTGTTGACAAATGTATTTTTATGTAGGTTCTCTCAGGAACTACAGTTAAAAATACAGAAAGATGCCAGAAATATTTCTTTATCTAAAAAATCCCAAAACAGAAAGAAGGAGAAGGAAAAAGACGACTTTTTAGGTGAGGAGAGAAACACTCTTGTGGTGCAGGTAAGTGTCCATGTTTTGATGTCTATTAAATTTAAATTTATTATGTTGGATGGTGAAAAAAAAATGAAGGTTAAAATATTCTCTGATGAGGAATAAATTAATTTTTAGCTTCTTTATAAAAATGTATTTTTTCTATAGACATTGCCTGTTTAAAAAAATTTAACATATCATGTAGTGAGTACCTACTGTGTACCAGACTATGCAGGAAATCATACTCATTCAAGAATATTTAGACACACATGTGAGTATCCACATACCAATACATGGACGCACACACACACATGCACACCATTTTTCCCCTTTAAAAGATAAAAGAGAAAATATCATCCTAACCGGTTTGGCTTGGTGGAGAGAGCTCCGGCCTGTAGACAGAAGGGTCCCAGGTTCAATTCCAGTCAAGGGTACATACCTGAGTTGCAGGCTCAATCCCCAGTGGGGGGCATGCAGGAGACAGCCAGTCAATGATCTCTCTCATCATTGATATTTCTCTCTCTTCCTCTTCCTTCCTCTCTGAAATCAATAAAAATATTTAAAAAAAGAAGAGAAAATATCATTGTTAGAATTTATATAAAGAAGAGCATTTTAAAATTGAGATTTGGGTATTGAGTTTATTTGAACGTTACTTTTCCTGGTACATTATCCAGAATTGGTTCTTGGTAAGGTAATTCAAATCCACCACCAACCACTCCTGTTTTCTTACATGAAGCAAAAGAAAACTTTCAATTTTTTGTTTTCTGACTCTAAATATATAGGAACAAAAGTGGGCATGCTTGATTTCTCTTCCACATTTCTCCCCACTGAAATATTTATAAATTAGATATATGTATCATGTAAATCTGAAGTGTACAGGGTATGGCAAACATAAGTTTACAGGTGTGAGCATATGAAACAGTTTATTATTGTATTATTATTATTATAAAATTACTGTATTATTTTCCATAGGAAAAACTATAAACCTACTTTACCCCACCCTGTACACATTAGAGCTAGTGTAAATTGCATTTCTATTTGAAATAAATGCCTGACTGAGAATTTTGGGTTTAATTTTAATTCCATATGTAGATAAAAAACAAACCCCAGAGGCACAAAAAGGTGATGTCTATGGAATGCTGGCCTAGTGGACAAGTATAATACTTTATAGGTAGAGGTGATTTTTCCTTATCCTCAGATCATTAATGTTAATAACATTTTTATTATTGCTCAGGATTCCAATGCTGACCCTAAAAATAAGGATTCTAGAGTATTAAAGATAAAAGGGTCGAAAATTGATGGAGAGAAAGTTGAAAAAATCAGTCGAGCTTCAAATGTCAGCTGTCTCCATGACAACGGGACTAGCCACATCAAAACAGTGCCTTCAACAAGCCTCAGAGATTGCAGCAATGGCAGTGTGGACCACACAAGGAATCCAGGCACGGCAATTCCTCCACTTACACACAATCTTTCTGCAGTAGCTCCTGGTATTAATTCTGGAATGGGGACTATCCCAGGAGTTCAGAGTTACAGGTATGAATTAAGAAAATAAGGACAGAAGGTTGTTTAAGGATATATTTGCAAATTTGTAAGTGATTGTCATTTCTGCCCCATTGTGTTATTCTCAGGCTTTTGGATACTGTTTATTCTTGTCAGGTTGCTGTTTCAAAATACTTTCTAGCCTATCTAATGAAGGTTATTAGCATCTGGTCAAATAATTAACCCAAGTCCTAAGAAAGTAGGACTGTATTGCTTAAGGTGAAGAGAATCCACAGCTATTTGTTCTAATAACATGGAAGGAGATTGTCATAACAAAAGAAGTAATTGATTTTCAAGGTCTGTTTCTGCATTGCATGGCTACAGACGTTTAGGGATACAAGAAAGCTCCTTTGGGGAATTTTGCTTAAAGGAAGGTAATTTGTTCAGTTGGAGTTTGGGACTGGGTAGGAGGCATGAGTATAGGACAGAATGTTTTATCAGATCTATGCTCATAGTGTATTTAAGAACAGGCATTAAATGCTGATTAAATTGCATGTCACTTGTGCTATGTAATTTGGTTTTGTGCTTAAAAATAATTACTGCTGGTTCTAACTTATTTTTTGTTGTTGTTCTTGTTTTTACAGAGTAGATGAGAAGACCAAGAAGTATTGTATTCCATTTGTTAAAGGAACTCAACAGACTCCACCAGGCATTTATAATATTAACATGACCAAACCAGTAAGTGATCTGTTTTCAGTGGTAGAAGAACAAGCTAAGTAATTTCTAGACTTTTATTAATATTAAATATTGGGTCGGCAAGTAAGTAATTGCGGATTTTTAAAAGAAAATCAAAGACAATTTTTTCATGGAACTAAATAACTTTATTCTGTAATGTATTGTCCATTTTGATCAATGACCTTTTGCCATCTTTCAGGCAGCATCATAATCCCACGTTCAAAAAACTTCTGGTTTTTATTAGCAAAAAACTGAATCAGGTACGATTTGACATCATCATCATTATTGAAATTTTTACCATTCAAGGAGTTTTGTAAAGATCGAAACAAAAAGTAATCAGATGGTGCAAGGTCAGGACTATCTGGTGGATGTGGCAAAACATCCCAACCAAGCTCCATTAATTTTTGCCGAGTGACCAAAGATGTGTGTGGCCTTGCATTGTCATGATGGAATACAACACCTTTTCGATTTGTCAATTCGGGCCGCTTTTCTTCAACTGCATTGTTTAATTTCGTTAGTTGTTCAATGTAGACATCAGAATTGATCGTTCGGTTGGGTGGTAAGAGTTCAAAGTAGACAATTCCTTTGTAATCCCACCAAACTGATAACAAAACCTTCTTTTGATGAATATCAGCTTTTGATGTTGTTTGAGTTGGTTCACCTGGCCTGCTCCACGATCTTTTCCGCTTGATATTGTTGTAAACAACCCATTTTTCATCGCCAGTTATCAGTCGTTTTAAAAATGGATCATTTTCATTACGTTTCTTTAGCAAATCGCAGCTGCTAATGCGTTGCGTTAACTGTGATTCTTTCAGTTCGTGAGGAACCCATGTATCAAGTTTTTGAACATAGCCAAGTTGTTTTAAGCGATTTTCAATGCATGTATGTGATACATGAAGCTTCTCTGCAATCTCACGTGTTGTACTGTGACAGTCCGAATTGATTATTGCTTTGATTAGGGCGTCATCAACTTCAACTGGACGACCAGAGCGTTTTTCATCTTTGAGTGAAAAATCACCAGAACGAAATTTGGCAAACCAATTTTGACACTGCCGTTCTTTTAAGGCTTCGTCACCATAAACAGCACATAACTTTTTATGAGCTTGGGATACGTTTTTCCCTTTGTGGAAATAAAAAATCAAAATATGACGAAAATGTTCCTTTTGATTTTCCATTTTTCAACGAACGCCAAACGAAAACTACAAAACAGATCAAAAAACTTTTTTTACTGATTAACAGCTGAATAGCCAACTATCAAATAACAAAATGTGTTTTACATTTTTACTACGTCTGCAAACCTAAAAATTCAACTGAAGCCATATATGTGTGAAACCCGCAATTACTTACTTGCCGACCCAATATAATAGTGAATAACTGAGATTTTATTTGAGGACAAATCATAAAATGGAAGCATAATTATGCAGGTATCTTCCCAGCCTGCCATAATCATAAATGTGAAAGATTTAAAGTTTAAATAAGTTTTAGAAAGTAATACCAATCTGGAACTTAAAATGTAAGATTTTATTAAAATGACATCTGTTTTAATTCTTTAGGCAACAGTAAATTTTCTTAATCTATGCTTGGTCACCAGTTTTGTTGTTATTTTAGAGTAGAGAAGATAAATGGTCTCATTTCACCCACACTAGGATTTTGGTAAAAGTATTCTGTTTCTTAATTTAACAAATATTTATTGATTACCTATTATGTATAAAACACTGGAAATGAATGAGTCAATCTTTCTCTTCAAGGAACTCTTGGTTTAGTAGAGGATCAGCAAGTTAAAGCATAGATTGTAACAGAAGCACGTACAAGGTTCATATGTCTCTGAAGCTTCAGAGGAACATTTTTATGCTCAAGATGGCTTTTTTTTTAAAGTCATCATCACTCTTCCACTCAAAACCTTCCCTTGGCTTTCCATTTCTGAGTAAAGACCCGAGTTCATGCAGAATCTTTAATTCCCCATCCTTCTGTCCCATTCACAGCTACTCTCATTCTTGATCAATCTATTCCAACCACACTGATTTCATTGTTATTCCTGCAACATGGTCAGGCATGCTTCCACATTTAGGCTTTTGCACTTGCTTCTCTATCTGCTTTGGAACATTCTTCAAATAATCCAGGAAACTTGCTTTTTCTCTTCTTTGGCTTACATGAAACCTTATTATGAGGTCTTCCCTAAAATGATAACTCATCTTGTCTCCCATTACTTTCTATCCTCTAACATTGCTTAATTTCCCCCAAGTATATATATTTGATAACCTCTACAGTCTTTTATTTATATATTGTCTGTCTCCCTCACTAAGATATAATCTTCCAAGGCAGGGATTTGTGCTTTGTCTCCTCACTGCTCTCCCTCACACCTAGAACAGTGTCTAGCAAATTGAAACTGCTTAAGAAATGCAAATGAATTCTGCCAGGGAAAGGGAGGTATGAACATATTCCCCAAAAAAGTATTTTTCTCACAAATTTTCCTTCTCTACTTCTTTCATTATCCTCAGTGCTGAAAAGTATAGCCTTTCTTTTAAATCTCTCATGATTTAGACATTATATTTGCCTGTTTTTAAGTTTTTCTTAGGCTACAATATCTGTACCCATTGTGCTTTCCTTTTTATATAGCCTCCCTTTTGATTTCTCTGTGGATATTTTGTGTTTTCCATTCCTACTCTGCTTTGAAGATTCTTTTTCTCAGCTAGGCTATTCCAAATAGTTGGCTCAATACCATTTTTCTGGAATTGATATCAGTTTTCTTTCAGGCATTGCATAACCATTACTGGCTAGTAATTTTAGATCTTATTTCTGTTTAACCTTCTTTGAGAACAGGCAATTAAAAAAAGGAGGTAAAGATTAATGGGGGGACGATCCACTGAAAAATTAATGGAAGCAGAGCTAAGCCTAAACTTTCTTCAACTTCTTGGTTGAAGATCAATAATAAATGTATTATTATAAATATCTCTTATGCATTTTACTTGCCACTATTTGAATATGTAAATATGGTAGTTTGGACTTGTTTATTCATTTATTTGTTTATTTATTTTTGTATTTGCAGATAATTTTTTTGAACTAATTATTCTATTTTGTAGCTGACTTGAGCCAAGAGCCTTAGTACTTACTCTATTAAAAGAATAAACAGAAACATCCAAAAGAAAGAAAAGCAAAATTTCAATTCAGGACTTTTGAAGACTTTGTGGGAGGCAGAGTGGCATAATTCACAGAATATTAAATTTGAGACATCAAGGAACCTCAATGGCTTAACACTGCCATTATATGTGTTTGTGTGTATAGTTCATTATACATACATATGTATATAAAACACATAAATGATTTCATTATATATAAGTGGGTGTTTTTTTTTAAATAAAATCACACACTGTATATATTACCTGTTCTGAAAATGTAGAAAAGAATATAGACTTTCTGTCATTCTCAAATGAAACAGAAAAATGTCAAATCCATAAAGGTGCAGAGTTGAAGTGCTCCTACTAGTCTTCACTTTATTTTTTTCTCAGACTTTATCAACTATGAAGTAATACTAAGATTTGGAAAATAATTGAAGTTGTAATTCTTTATTTAATAAAGTGTGTAACTAGGAGATAGTATCATGTGGTAACTCTGAGGAGCAGGACAAGGACAAATGTTTTTGTGTTTTTTTAAAAAATATATTTTATTGATTTTTTTTTACAGAGAGGGAGGGAGAGGATAGAGAGTTAGAAACATCAATGACAAAGATACATCGATCAGCTGCCTCCTGCACAGCCCCTACTGGGGATGTGCCCGCAACCAAGGTACATGCCCTTGACCAGAATCGAACTTCGGACTCTTCAGTCCGTAGGCCAACGCTCTATCCACTAAGCCAAACCGGTTAGGGCAAGGACAAATGTTTTTAAAATGAGCGGCAAGATTATGTTGGAAAAGCAAAAAAAAAACACAAAAAAAACCTAGGACATGTGATATACATGGCAAGACAAACTGCTCAGAATTAACTATATGATGAAAAGCTCAGCAAGTATCCTAAGGCCTGACCTTGCTGGCCTGATGCCCTTCTGCTAACCTTTTACTAATCGCCAGGACTTACCTGAAGTCTCGGAGAGGGAGACAGAGAAACTCATATCAACCAGTAATCCACTTGGTAGCAATTTAATACATTTACTGAGGGAGAGGTTTGAAATAACTAGGTGAAATTGTTTTGTGTGTGTGTGTGTGTGTGTGTGTGTGTGTGTGTTACTTATGTTTTTCAAATATTGCATTATTCCATATCTTCAAATCCATACATTTTAGGCTATGACTACAGTAGTTAGTCATACATTTTAGGCTATGTATCTATACATTTTAGGCTATGACTACAGCAAGCCCAGTTTATCTGGAATCTAATTCATTTGTGTTAATCATTCTGATGATATTAGATCACTAGTGAAAAGAGCCTCCTTCAGGCAAATAAGAAAAGAAGAGAATACGCAAAGACAGATGTCCATTTGCCCGAATTAAACTATAATCATCTCCCCGAACTGAGAGCCTTGGAAGGCATAGGTATGTTTACAATGCTTTTATCTTGTCAGCCCTTTGTTTGCATTGTTTAAAATGTATGTGAAATGAACAGAATATCAAAAACTCATACATGTATGTTGAATGAACAGAATATAAAAAACTCATAGTAATTTCACATTTTTATGTATGTAAATATGTATAATAAGTACTACATACAAAGGGACAGATACAAAATGTGAAAAACTAACAAAAATGTCTATTTTTTTTCCATTGTGCTTATGGTTATTTTTGTGCAGCTCGAAATTCCAGGCTAATGAGGAAAGAGAACAAAAACCTTTCAGAATCTCAAATTCCTTCTCTGGCTGCTATTGATTTGCATGCTTCCAGTGTTACACTGCATCAGGTACAGAAATACTCTGTAGGCTGTGTGGAGCTCCAGTCTCATGTTTCCTGTTCATGTTCCTTAGAGAGAGTTTGCTCTTAAGGATTGGGAAGGTTTATTGGTGGGATCTATAAAATTTTGCTTGTTAAATTGTGTATTATGGTTCATTGAATTTAGTACCTCTATGACATATCCTATATAATAAAACCCTAATATGCAAATTGACAGAACAGTGAAACGACCGGTCACTATGATGCACACTGTCTCCCTCCCTCTCCCCCCCAGAGGGAGGCAACCAGCAGTGGTGATCAGGGGGTGGGGCCAGCTGGCGTGTGCCAGAGGGGGCTCCTGATCACCCTGCCCACTGATGGCCCCACAGGGGGCCCTGATCGCTGGCCAGGCCTAGGGACCCTACCCCATATGTTGGGAACAGTCTCTTAGATTTAAACGTTGAAACCTGGCACGGCTACTCTAACACTGAAAAAAGGGTTGCAGTGATGACATGTTGTGGTCAGCTCTGATTCTGACACTTATAACTGTATCACAAAGCCAATTACTTATCTCTGCTTCAGTTTTTCCACCCATAAGATGGGGAAAATGGTACTATTACCTCAGAAGGATCATGCTATGTACTACTTTTTATAACCAGGGCAAAAAAATGTAGCTGTCCATACAACAGAAAGATGCCTTTCACCTGTATGAAAAGTATGGTCACTGGTGCATGCAGCGTGATTGCAAAGGGGATGTCTGACTGCCAGTTTAGACCTGACAACCCCAAGGGGTCCCGGGTTGTGAGAGGGCACAGACTGGGCTGAGGGATGCCGCCCCCCCACCCCCCTGCACTAATTTTATGCACCAGGCCTCCAGTATATTTATATTAACATTTCACAGTTTACAGTAATCAATGTTTTATGATTAAAAATATGTGTGTGTGAGTGTGTGTATAGCCTAGTTATGGCTTTTATATAACTACAGGTTTTGTTGTAGCTTATAGTATTTCACTTCATTAGCCCCAAATTATAATCTATCTTTCAAAACTCTGAAACTGTTTTTATTCTTTTAGAATGTATTATCTGACACTTTTCCCCAAGATGGTTCACTTCGTCCATATTAAAAAAGATTTGCTATTACTACAGTCATCTTTTTCTATAACTTCTCTTAGCCCTTAAGATTATTTATGTTTCTGCTACTTTTATATCAACAACAGTCATATCACTCATTTTCACATTGAGGAAACTGGCAAATTTTTAAATCTCCTGAGCCAATCATAACTTGCTACAAACTTTGGATATGGGTCATTGTACTTCACTTTTACTTTTTCATAATTCTCATCTTTGCTTAATGCTTGGAAACTTTTGTTTTAGAGTGAAATTCTCCATTCTCATTTTTTAAGCATTTCCATTTAATTTAATGAATTCTATATAGCTTCTTTATCTATGTGAATACTCTTTTCTCCTTAACTGTGTTACTCCGTAAATAATTTTGTAGAGCTCTGTAAACAAGGGGAACAATTTTGTTGAGGATACATTACAGAGGCAGTTACCCCGTGATACTGAGAAAAAGGTTTATTTACTGCTGTTGCCTTGCCTTATCTCTTGCTGACAATTTCTGTAGCAACATTATCAAAACTAAACAAATTCCTGTTGTATGAAGATGAATCACTGTCACGGATTTAACATCTGGTAACTATAGAATCTCAATAAATTCCTGTATACTTCTAAACTTAAATTTAATGTGCATTTTAAAGGTGCAGAATTTTTCATTTGCTCTTTGAGAGTGCACTAGGCTCAAAAGCACTTTTCAGGGTTGACATAACCAAATCTAGTTTCAGTCAATGGAAGAAAATGTTTTTATTTGTTGTTTTGAACTAATCTTTTTTTTTTTTTTTTAATATATGTTTTTATTGATTTTAGAGAGAGAGGAAGGGAGAGGGGTAGACAGATTGAAACATTGATGAGAGAAAAACCCATCAGCTGCTTCCTGCACGCCCCCTACTTGGTTTGGCACCTTCAACCAGGGCATGTGCCCTGACCAGAAATCGCACTGGTTACCTGTTGGTTCAGGGGTTGATGCTCATCCACTGAGGCATGCCGGCTGGGCTGAACGTACCGTTTTATACATATAAATTGGTTCTGCACGTTTAGTCTCAAGGTACTTGCTTAATTTCCAGTTGTATTTAAGCTACAATAAAGGAGAAAGTTGGTGTAACAAAAATCACAAATTAACACCAAAATAACCTGAGCTTATGTACAGAAAATCTGAAGGAAAGAGAAACGCCAGAAGACTGAAAGCAAAAGACTTTCTGGTATGCGGTGTGACTTGCCCTGCACTTTTACTTTATTAATAAAAATACATTGAACTATGTTTTATTTCTGTACTTAACACAAAACTTTCACCTTTATAAAAGACTACTTGTACCTTTTGGAAAAATCTGTAAGATAGATTTTTATAAGTAAAGTGTTGCATAATTTCCCCCCCCACACACACACACTTACACGTTAGGTACTTATACACACAACTATATGTTTTTTCCTGTAAGCATGGTTTTAGCTTTATCCCACACATTTTGATATGCTGCAGTTATATTATCATTCAGTCCAAACATTTTTTTTTATTTCCCACATAATTTCTTCTTTAACCCATGAATTACTTAGAAATGTTTATCTAATGGTTAGATATGTGGAGTTTCCCTGGATATTTTGTTATTATTGACTTCTAATTTAATTCCATGTGGTTAGAGAATATTCTTTTTATGAATTTGATCCTTTTAGATTCATTGAGATGTGTTTTATAGCACAGCATATAGTCTATATTGGTAGTGGATATAATGTCCTATAAATGTGAAATTAAACTAAGGTGGTTTGTTGTTCAGATCTCCTATGTCCTTAATGATTTTTTTGTTGTTTACTTCTATCAGTTGCTGAAAGAGTACTGTCAAAACCTTTTACGACAATTGTGGAATTATCTATTTTTCTCTTTTATCTGTTTATTTTTGCTTCATGTACTTTAATCTCTTTTTAATTACTTGCACACTTAAATTGTGTTGTTTTCCTGATACATGTCCCTTTTATTATTATGAGATGTCTCTCTTTAACTCATAGTACTCTAGGCCTAGAAGTCTATTTTGTCTGAGATTAAAATAGACACTCCAGCCTACTTATACTTATGTTTCAATGATATATCTTTTTACTTTTCATTTACTTTCAACCAAACTGGTTTTTATAAAGTGTTTCTTTTGTCAACAGCATATAAGTAGGATCTTTCCTTTGTATCCATTCTGCCAATTCCAATTCTTTTAATTGGAATGTGTATTAGTTTTCTATTGCCGATAAAAATGACTCCAACTAAAAACAATATCCATTTATTATTTCACAGTTTCCATGGGCCAGAAGCCTGGGCCAAGCTGCTTCTCTCCTTCAGAGTCTCCCAGGCCGAAATCCAGATGTCAGCAGGGCTGCATTTCTTTCTGGAGGCTCTAGGGGAGAATCCATTTCCAGGCTCCTTCAGGTTGTTGGCAGAATTCAGTTCCATGTGGTGGGGGACCTGTTTCCTTGTTGTCCCTGTTTCTTTGCTGGCTGATCCCCAGGGACTGTTCTCGACTTCTAGAGGCTATACATTCCTGGGAACCATGGCTTAGTTCCACCATCTTCAAAGACAGCAACATTAGCTGGATTTTATTTATTTATTTATTTATTATTCTTTGAATCTCTCTTACCTCCTCTTCTGCCTCATTTCCCTGATTCACTCTTCTGCTTTTACGGATGATGTGATTACATTGGGCCCACCAAGAAAATCTCTCTACTTTAGAGTAGTAGCTGATTAGTAACATCAATTTAATGTGCAAAGTCCCTTCACACAGAAACTAAGCTAGTTTGATTGACTAACCAGGGATGGGCATCTTAGGGGGATATCTTTAGAATTCTGACTAGCATTGAATATTTAGGCCATTAACATTTAATGTTATGTTTGGGTCTAGCTCTGTTTTCTTTTTTTTCTTATTTGTTTCTTATTTGTTCCTCTGTTTTCCTTTTCCAGTCTTCTTTCATATTTAAATATCTTTAGTGTTGACTTTTGGGAGATATCTTTTGGTACTATTTTTTAGCCATTCGTCTAGGGGTTACAATATATATATAATTTTCACAGTCTACTTATAGCAAATATTAGGCCACTTATAAATGTAAAAACATTACAAATATATTTCCCTTCCCACCAATCTGAACTTTTTTTGAAAGAATTTTATTTATTTATTCTCACCCAAAGACACACTTGGACAGAGGAAGAGAGAGAGAGAAAGAAAAACACTGATGTGAGAGAGAAACATCACTTGGTTGCCTTCCATGCATGATCTACCTGGGAATTCAACCCACAATCTAGGTAGATAAGTGCCCTGACTGGGAATTGAACTGACAACCGTTCGGTGCACAGGACGACACTCAGTCAACTGAGCCACTATGGCTGGGCCACCAACCTGAACTTTATGTTAAAGTTAATCATATATATTTTACTTACATACATTGAAAACTCCACTACACTATCATACATTTTGCTTTAAACAGTCATAAATATTTTAGAGAATTTATGAGAAAAAAAGTAGTCTATATTTTCCTAACTACTTACCATTTCTGTTTTTTCTTTTTTTTCTTAAAGCTGCAGTTTTTTCTGGTATTTTCCTTCCACAGGAAAAACTTACTTCTTGCAATTATTATTATTATTATTATTATTATTATTATTTAATATATTTTATTGGTTTCTTACAGAGAGGAAGGGAGAGAGATAGAGAGCTAGAAACGTCGATGAGAGAGATACATCGACCAACTGCCTCTTGCACACACCCCACCAGGGATGTGCCCGCAACCAACTTACATGCCCCTGACTGGAATCGAACCTGGGACCCTTCAGTCTGTAGACCAACGCTCTACCACTGAGCCAAACCAGTTTCGGTTAAGTTGAACTTTTTTTTTTTTTTTTTAATATATATTTTTTTAATTTTATTTTTATTTTTTTAGTTAAATTATTATCTGTGTACATATTTTAACATTGCCCCCCCTCCCAAACATACCCTCCTTCCCCAGAGTTTTGTGTCCATTGGTTGAAATTATATGCATGAATACAAGTCCTTCGGTTGATCTCTTATCTCCCCCAGATCTCCCTACCCTACCTGCTGTAATTTGACAGTCTGCTTGTTGCTTTACTATCTTTATATCTGACTTTTGGTTCATCAGTTTATAATGTTCTTTAATATCCATAAATGAGTGAGGTCATGTGGTATTTCTCTTTCTTTGACTGGCTTATTTCACTCAGTATGATGTTCTCTAGTTCTATCCAGGTTGCTGCAAAAGATGAGAATTCCTTCTTTTTGATGGCAGCATGATATTCCATTGTGTAGATGTACCATGGTTTTTTGATCCAATCATCTGCTGACGAGCACCTAGGCTGTTTCCAGATTCTAGCTATTGTAGATTGTGCTGCTATGAACATAGGGGTGCATATATCCTTTCTGATTGGTGTTTCTAGTTTCTTGGGATATATTCCTAGGAGTGGGATTACTGGGTCAAATGGGAGTTCCATTTTCAGTTTTTTGAGGAAACTCCATACTGTTCTCCACAGTGGTTGCACCAGACTGCATTCCCACCAGCAGTGCACAAGGGTTCCTTTTTCTCTGCAACCTCTCCAACACTTGTCGTTTGTTGATTTGTTGATGTTGGCCATTCTGACAGGTGTGAGATGGTACCGTATTGTTGTTTTGATTTGCATCTCACTTATTGTAATTCTTGCAGACTAGGTTGGATGGTGATAAATTCTTAGTTTTCCTTCATTTGAAAATGACTTTATTTTGCTTTTGTTCCTGAAGTATATTTTTGTTGGATATAAAATTTGAGTTGGTAGGTTGTTCAAATTTTTTTTTTTTTCTCTCTCAGGACTATAAGGATGTTATTCCTCTTTTCTGATTTCTGTGATTTCTTGGGGGAAATTCTCAGGTATTTGAATAATTATTTTCCTGTATGGAATGTTTCATTTTTCTATGGTTGCTCTCAAGATTTAACCTTTATCTTTGTGTTCATTAGGTTGAGTATCATATGTCTAGGCATAGCTGTATTTTTAAAAGATGTTTTTAAATGTATCCTGTTTGGGGGTTTATGAGTTTCTTAAGTCTGTAAACTTATACCTAATTGGGGAAATTCATAGACTTTATTTTTTCAAAAAAATTTTTTCTGCCACAATCTCTTTTCTCCTTCTGAGATTCCAGTGACATATGTTAGACCTTTTGGTATTTTCTCCCAGGTTTCTGAGGATTTGTTCATGCTCACCAATCTTTTTTCTCTTTATTCTTAAGACTGGGTCATTTCTATTGATCTGTTATAAAGTTTTTTGACTCTCTACTTTGTCATTTGCATTCTGCTATTAAGCCCATCCAGGCAAGTTTAAAAATTTCAGTACTATTTTTTAATTCTAAATATCTACTTAGTACTAGACAGTTTTAGAGTTCTACTCTTCTACTAAGAATTCCTGTCCCTTCATTTTATTATGTTTTCTTTCATCTCATATACCATAATTATAATGGCTACTTAAAAATAAGTATACACACACTATATATATTTCAACATCTGAACCACCTCAGGATTGGTATTTGTTGATTGACTTGATCACACTTTCCTGGATGTTTTTATGTCCTGTATTTTTTTATTATATTTAGGACATTGTGGATATGTTGTGTAGCCTCAGGGTTCTGTTATAATACTCAGGAAAACATTGAACTTTTTGTTTTAGCAGGAAGTCACCCAAGTGTGATTCACATTGTAAATTCTGCCTTAGCTTCTGTGAGAACTGGTACAAATATCAGTTCTCTAAGTCTTTCTTATCCTGGTTTGCTCCTGTCCTGTACTTGTATAGTTCAGGAGACTTGTGCAAGTGATTCAAACTCAGTTTAGTTTTGTAAGCCTTTGCTGTGCTGGTCTAAATCTCTTCCATGTGCAGGAGTTGGACTGAGACTTCTGTGGCTTATATACAGAATTAGAGGATCTCTTTTTCTAGTTACCATCCCTTCAGAATTCCCCCATCCTTTTTGGCCTGCAGGGATTCCTTTTCTTGGTTTCTCTATAAAGATGGGGTTCCTTCCAGACTTTTAGCCTGCTGCACATCTTTACTACTCTGGGGCTAGGGCAAAGCCAAAGGAGGAAAAAAACAAAAATGGAAGCCTACCCCCACATGAAAGGCCACATCTTCAAATTTTTGACTCCTCTCCTTAATCCTTAGTGGGCTTCCCGCCCTCCTCCCCCCTCCCCCCAATATTTCTTTCTTTGTTTTGATTGTTTGTTTTAGAATAAGTAGGGGAATCGCTTCTCGGCCTTTTGGCTAAGATCAAGTGTAGAATAAGTAGGGGAGGGGGTTTGTAGTGGATTTGTATTGCCCTGGCACATCCTAAGTACACTTTAATAATATATGTATCAACAAAGAGGTAAAAAAAATAACATCCCCTTCATCTTCTGTGCAAGTAATTTGAGCTATGAATAGTTACTTTTAAACATCTGGTAACTGAACAGCAAAAATAGGGGTTTTCAGGGAGTGTGGGACATATAATGACTGGGAGCCTATAATGCTGGATTATGAATTCATAGGTACCAGGATCTCCCCTGCCAGAGGACTCGGAGGCTGATTTACCTTGGATGGAGCACCAGCACTGAATGTCAGTTTGGTTCTGAACAGGGTAGGTCTTCTTTCCCATATTTAAAGCTGTGTAGTCTTTTTGGGGAAAATATTTTGTATATTTGTAAATATGATGTGAGAAAACAAGTGGGATAGAAATCTAGTAATATTTTACATAAAATATTTTACATAAAATGTATGCCTCCTGTGCTTTTAGGTGCTGCTCTACCATTTGAGATGACATCCTCTTGGAACAAAAGTGCTGATATCCCAGGAGGAGATATACATGGTTTTGATCATTTACTTCTGAACTGCCTGCATTTTCTGAGAAATGTTTTGCAGAAGAAGAGACAATGACTTGCAGGTGTTTCAAAGGAAGATTGGGCAAGGGTCCTCCCCAACTGTTACCCATCACCTTTGAAGTCCACTGATGCTATTTCAGGATATATCAAATGAAAGAATGGTGATATGGTTCTCGTTACATGAGTGTATATTTACTACTAGTAGGTTGTGTATTTAAAGGTACCCAAGATTAACAGTAAGTAAAAAAGAGGAGAAAGATTATAAAAGTTTATGTTACTTATGCATTGAACTTTGTGTGTTACTTGCATTAATGTGTACATTTATTAAGAGTGTGTTTGGTGGATGTGGGTGCTAAAAACTAGAATCAGTTGAAAAAAATGAAAGAGACTAGGATCAGTAAAAAAAAAAAATGTTTCCTTTACCCTAACCTAATTATAAAAACACATTTAAGAATCTTGCTTGTTTCTAGGCTTTAACAAGATATGTGACTGCTCTCTATGGATAGATGTGTTTCTTTGGTTTCCGTGATTATAGTTGATGTTTGATCAGTGTATCATGGGAATCTGCCTCTCTGCTGATCTTCTAAGCATCATATTAAGTGCAAGGTTTGCAAAGAACCCTTTTTATTTCTAATGATTTGGTACAGCTGGGTCTGGATAGTCCTCTGCACTGTGTGTGATTCGGGGGCTAATGTTCCTGTGAGCAGGAATGTGATTGGGACAAGAGTGGGAAAAGAGAATTTTGTAAGTATACCTTGGAGTTGAATACTTCTCATTGACAAAAGAGGTATACATACAAAATTAGGAAATGGGAAGCAAGGTTACCCATTGGCTATGATTGGTCACTCTTCTCTGGGCCGAATCCTGCTGAACTCCCCAGCCAAAGAGGCTTTGGGCACGAGATGAACATTGTTCTCGACTTTACTCCTATCCACTGGTAGTTTGAAGGTGATATTAAATAGAGTATCTTTCTAAAAGCCCAGAGATATTCCTGTATTCTTATTTTCTCAAACACCTAGGCCTTCCCAAAATCTTGTAACCAAGGTGCAAAATTATTAACCCACAGGACACACATCTTTCCTAAAGCACTGGTCCTCAACTTTTAGGTGGGAGAGTTAAACCAATTTGGCTCTCGCTTTTTCATTTCTTGGTTTCTAGTCATGCTCTGCATTTATCGTTTTAGATAATGGTTGTTAAGGGGACCAGAATTTGTGTGGGGTTTTTTACCTTAACCAATTAATAGTATGTTGTTGTTTTTTCCAAAAGACATTGACTAGAACTTAGCCCAGGAATTTTACTAGCACTTTTCTCTATTACCTACCCTATAGAGCTTAATATTAAAATTCTAATCATACTATCTGAGCCTCAAAAGAGTAGGACATTAAGGAGGTAAAATAAGTGGCTGCAATATAGAAGTCTATGTAGGTGGCTCAATTAAACTTTGGTCTTGATTTTGAAGCTCTGTCTTTAACCTCTGACCTGTGTTTGACTAGACCAGGTATGGCTAATATGCGGAACAAAGTTAGTGTATAGGCATTACTAGGCCTCAAATTAAAATATTATTATTTTTACTTTGAATTATGTTTCAACAGCCACCACAGCATAAAAAGCAGACACTACTTAAAAGTCAAGTAGCTGTCCAGCTTATTTCAATTTAGTTTTATTTAAAGATTGGTGTGAAAATATCACCTCAGTGTCTGAGGGTCTAGGATTAGACCTTTTTTATTCTATATTTGCTCTTGGTATCTTTTATGGATTAAAACATTTTGTGCACTTTAGAATTAAAAAACTAAAAGCTTTTTATTATAAGTCCAAGTTGAGACTTAAAGCTCATATCTGATTAGAACCTTAGAAGAAGTACTTGAGAAAGATTTTGCAAACTGGGACTAAAGACCCTGAACTAAAATAATCCTATTTTTTTTTTTTCAATTTAAGGTTACTTTGTCTTTCCTTACAAGGATATGATTAAGTCACATACTAATAGGAAATATGTATATGTACTAGTGGGAAAATGGGCTTGCTGTGTGTATGTATATTTTACAATTAATAAATATATGTTATTGAGCTCCATAGATAGTTTTTATTTGCATTTATTTAATTAATAAACTATAAACAACGTATAGAACACTGTATGGTGTTTAAAAATATGTTTGAAATAATCAGTTAATTCTTTTTGGGAAAGTTAGGGTATATGGCTGACAAGTTAAATTTCTTGTTCAGCCAGTGATACAAGCCATCTGGTCATAAAATAACGTGTCTTGTAAAGACTACCTGGTAAAGGTGGTGACAGACCCAGGCTTAGAACCTGGATTCTCCTGATTGCAAATCCCCTGCTTGGTTAGATTAGCTAACATCCTCTTGAAATGGAAACATAGAAGATGTGTTGTCTTGTGTGACTCTCTCATTATTGGTTTCTTTACCTTAATTGTGCTAAAATATAAGGCTGGATCTATAAGCAACTGTAAATCAGATTAGATTGAAAAATGTGATTGACTTATTTTCTGTGACCTCCTCAGTGTAATCGAGCCACTGGCAGAGGATCCGAAATTGGAGGGTCACTGCTCTGAAAGCTTTAAGGCTAGTCCTAGTGCATTGGACTAAGTGGACTTTTCTCTATTGATTTGTATTGTGTTTTTACATTAGAAATGGGCCCCTAACACTATGTGAGTGAAAAATTATGTTCTCACATTGCTTTTTATTTACTTATTTTTCTTCTTTTTCTTTTTTTCTCTCTTTTTTTAATTAAATTATTATGTGTGTACATATTTTAACATTGCCACCCCCCCCTCCCCATACATACCCTTCCTCCCCAGAGTTTTGTGTCCATTGGTTGTACTTATATACAAGTTCTTTGGTTAATCTATTATCTCCCCCAGATCTTCTTACCCTACCTGCTGTAATTTGACAGTCTGCTTGTTGCTTTACTGTCTCTATATCTATCTTTTGGTTCATCAGTTTATAACGTTCTTTATTATACATAAATGAGTGAGGTCATGTGATGTTTCTCTTTCATTGATTGGCTTATTTCACTCAGCATGATGTTCTCCAATTCCATCCAGATTGCTGCAAATGATGAGAATTCCTTTTTTTTGATGGCAGCATGATATTCCATTGTGTAGATGTACCATGGTTTTTTGATCCAATCATCTGCTGACGGGCACCTAGGCTGTTTCCAGATTCTAGCTATTGTAGCTTGTGCTGCTATGAACATAGGGGTGCATATACCCTTTCTGATTGGTGTTTCTAGTTTCTTGGGATATATTCCTAGGAGTGGGATTACTGGGTCAAATGGGACTTCCATTTTCAGTTTTTTGAGGAAACTCCACACTGTTCTCCACAATGGTTGCACCAGTCTGCATTCCTACCAGCAGTGCACGAGGGTTCCTTTTTCTCCGCAACCTCTCCAACACTTGTCGTTTGTTGATTTGTTGATGTTGGCTATTCTGACAGATGTGAGATGGTACCGCATTGTTGTTTTGATTTGCATCTTTTGGATAATTAGTGACTTTGAGCATGTTTTCATGTTGGCCTTCCTTCTGTCTTCTTTTGAAAATATTCTATTTAGGTCCATTGCCCATTTTTAAATTGGATCATTCATCTTCCTTTTATTTAGTTGTATAAGCTGTTTGTAGATGTTGGAGATTAAACCTTTATCAGTGGTAACATTTGCAAATATGTTCTCCCACACAGTGGGCTGTCTTGTTGTTTTGTTGATGGTTTCTTTTGCTGTAAAAAAGCTTTTTATTTTGATGTAGTTCCATTTGTTTATTTTCTCTTTAGCTTCCATTGCCCTAGGGGCAATATCAGTGAAGAAGTTCTTTTGGCATATGTCTGAGATTTTGCTGCCTGTGGATGCTTCTAGTATTTTTATGGTTTCCTGTCTGATGTTTAAGTCCTGTATCCATTTTGAGTTTATTTTTGTGAATGGTGTAAGTTGGTGATCTAGTTTCATTCTTTTGCATGTATCTGTCCAATTTTCCCAACACCATTTACTGAAGAGACTGTCTTGACTCCATTGTATATTCGTGCCTCCTTTGTCAAATATTAATTGAGCATAGAAATTTGGGTTGATATCTGGGTTCTCGATTCGATTCCATTGATCTATATGTCTGTTCTTGTGCCAGTCCCAGGCTGTTTTGAGAACAGTGGCTTTGTAATACAGCTTGAAGTCTGGTATTGAGATTCCCTCCTACTTTACTCTTCTTTCTCAGGATTGCTGTGGCTATTCGGGGTCTTTTATTGTTCTAAATGAACTTTTAGAGAGTTCTTTCTAGGTCCGTGAAATATGCCGTTGGTATTTTAATGGGGAGTGCATTGAACCTATAGATTGCTTTAGGAAGTATGGACATTTTGATGATGTTGATTCTACCAATCCATGAACATGGTATGTTCTTCCATCTGTTTACATCTTCCTCTATCTCTTTTTTCAGTGTCGTGTAGTTTTCCACATATAGGTCCTTTACTTCCTTAGTTAAATTTATTCCTAGGTATCTTAATTTTTTTGGTGCGATGGTAAATGGAATTGCTTTTTTAGTCTCTGTTTCTGTAATTTCACTGTTGGTGTATAGAAATGCCATGGATTTCTTGACATTAATTTTGTATCCTGCTACATTGCCAAATTCATTTATTAAGTCAGTTAGTTTTTTAATCGAGTCTTTTGGGTTTTTATGTACAATATCATGTCATATGCAAATAAGGATAACTTTACTTCTTCTTTTCCAATTTGGATGCCTTTTATATCCTCTTCTTGTATAATTGCAATGGCTAGTACTTCCAGTACTATGTCAAACAGGAGTGGCTAGAGTGGGCATCCCTGTCTTGTTCCTGTTCTTAGAGGGAACGGTTTTAGTTTTTGCCCATTGAGTATGATGTTGGCTGTGGGTTTATCATATATACCTTTTATTATGTTGAGGTATGATCCTTGTACTCCCACTTTGTTGAGAGTTTTTATCAAGAAAGGGTGTTGGATTTTATCAAATGCTTTTTCTGCATCAATTGATATGACTATATGATTTTTATCTTTCAATTTGTTTATGTGATGTATCACGTTTATTGATTTGAGGATATTGTACCATCCTTGCATTCCTGGAATAAATCCTACTTGGTCATGGTGTATGATCTTTGTGATGTTCTGCTGGAGCCGATTTGCTAGAATTTTGTTGAGGATTTTGGCATCTATGTTCATGAGGGATATTGGCCTGTAATTCTCTTTCATTGAGTTGTCTTTATCTGGTTTTGGCATTAGGGTGATGCTGGCTTCATAGAAGGAGTTTGGAAGTGTTTCTTCCTCTTGAATTTTTTAGAATAGTCTGAGGAGGATAGGTTTTAGTTCTTCCTTGAATGTTTGGTAAAACTCTCCTGTGAAGCCATGTGGCCTTGGGCTTTTGTTTGCTGGAAGCTTTTTGATGATTGTTTCAATTTCTTCCCAAGTCACTGGTCTATTGAGATTTTTAGATTCTTCTTGATTGAGTTTTGGACGTTTGTATTATTCTAGGAATATGTCCATTTCCTCCAGGTTGTTCAGTTTGTTGGAATAGAGTTGTTCCTAGTATTTTGTAACAATCCGTTGTATTTCGGTAGGGTCTGTAGTTATTTCACCTCTTTCATTTCTGATTTTGTTTATTTGAGTCCTCTCTCTTTGTTTCTTGGTTAGCCTGGCTAGAGGTTCATCTATCTTGTTTATTCTTTCAAGGAACCAGCTCTTGGTTTTGTTGATTTTATGTATTGTTTCTTTGGTCTCTATGTCGTTTATATCCGCTCTGATTTTTGTTATTTCCTTCCTTCTGCTTACACTGGGCTTTTCTTGTTGCTCTTTTTCTAACTTTTTGAGTTGTAAAGTTAGATAATTTGTTACCATTTTTTCTTGTTTTTTTGCAATAGGCTTGTAGGGATATGAACTTCCTTCTCAAAACTGCTTTTGCTATGTCCCATAGATTTTGGATTGTTGTGTTTTCATTGTCATTTGTTTCCAGGATGTTTTTAATTTCTTTCTTGATTTTTCTGGTAACCCAGTCCTTGTTTAATAACATGCTGTTTAGTCTCTATGTGTTTGATTTCTTTGGGTTATTTTTATTGTAGTTAATTTCCAGTTTTATGCCACTATGATCTGAGAAGATGCTTGATATAATTTCTATCTTCTTGAACTTGAAGAGACTTTGCCTATGTCCCAAAATGTGGTCTATCTTTGAGAATGTCCCATGTGCATTTGAGAAGAATGTTTATTCTGTGGCTTTGGGGTGGAATGTTCTGAAGATGTCGATCAATTCCATCTGGTCTAGTGAGTCATTTAGGATTGATATTTCTTTGCTGATTTTTGTTTAGATGATTTGTCCAAGGGTGACAGTGGGGTATTAAAATCTCCTACTATGATTGTGTTGCTATTAATCTCTCCCTTAACGTCCTCCAGCAGTTTTTTTTATGTATTCAATATTTGGGTGCTCCCGAATTGGGTGCATATATATTTTATTTACCTGGGTTATTTCTTCTTGTTGGATTGCTCCTTTTAATATTATGAAGTGGCCTTCATTATCTCTTGTTATGTCCTTCACTCTGAGATCTAATTTGTCAGCTATAAGTATTGCTACCCCAGCTTTTTTTTCATTTCCATTTGCCTGGAAAACCTTTTTCCATCCCTTCACCCTCAGTCTGTGTGCGTCTTTTTTTCTGAGGTGGGTTTCTTGTAGACAACAGATGTATGGGTATTGTTTTCTTATCCAGTCTGTTACCCTATGTCTTTTGATTGGAGCATTTAATCCATTTACATTTAAGGTTATTATTGATACTTACTCATTTGACGCCATTTTTATTCTTTACCCCTGTGTTCCTTCTTCACTTCCTATTTCTTTATTTTTACAGTAGACCCTTTAGCATTTCTTGCATTGCTGGTTTGGTGGAGATAAATTCCTTCAGTCTTTTTTTTTGTCTGTGAAGCTCCTGATTTCCCCTTCAATTTTGATTGATAGCCTCGCTGGGTACAGTATTCTTGGATTCAGACCCTTCCTTTGCATGACTTTGTATATTTCATCCCATTCCCTTCTGGTCTGATAAGTTTCTGTTGAGAAATC